ATGGTTTTGTTGGGGGCGTGTTGAACAAAATAATTGAGATAAATGAGCCTGGAAGTGTTTGAGGTATGGTTAGTGTTGGGTCTTACAGTTATTTTCCTGCTCTTCTTTTAAAGAAAAAAAAAGGTAGTTTTATATTCCCTAGACTTAGTTGTGCAGCGTTGGTAAGTGCATTCCTAGTAGAAGATGCACGGCCTGAGAGATTATCAGAGTTTCAGGGTTTCCTGTGATGGAGTAGGTGGCTGGAAGCATCCATGTGGTGGGCTATAGTTCCTATTACTGCTCTGTGATACAAACATCTGAGCTTGTCATTGATGGCTGCTTAAGCCTGATGAATGATCAGTGTTTTTTAATATTTAATGATGATTATGAGTGTTTTAACTTTTTCCTATAAGGCAGGGCTGTTCAACTAAACTGCTCCGGGGGCCACATTTACTGCCAGTCAACAGCTGAGGGGCCGAACATCCAGCAATTAAAGTTATTATGTAAATAAACCAAGTATTACAAAGATCTGTTACCTTTGAAATAGTTTATTTTGCTGCATTTAATCATGAATACAACATACAGAACCCTATAAAAGTAGTGATAATTACACATAATCAAAAACAAAAAGAACACATGATGCCTCCTATTATTTGACACAAATAATATTTTGACATCTCTGACTTGCCAAATTTTTAAACCAATTTTATTTTTACTTTCATAGTTTTATCTTCAACTGCTTGAAGTTTTAACTGTCTTGAGTGTTTATAGAAATGTTTTTACCAGCTTGTAGCTAAGATTCTGATGTTTCTGTAGACACCAAACATGTCTGTGTTTAACTAAAAGAACTTAGAGTAATTAAAGTAGAAAACCGGGGCTTTGAGCTGAAGAGATGAATGAACCAATTGGCGGGCCGAACTTTGGTCACTCGTGGGCCGGATGTGGCCCGCGAGCCGCCAAATGACTAGCCCTGCTATAAGGTATTTTTTTCACCACATGCAAATAACCCCCTAATAGTTTTGCTTAAAAAATTGTTCACATTCACAAAAAAACTGTTGATTTTCTACGACCTGACACAGTGACGAGTTTTACATCATGTTTCCAGTTGTGTGCACACAGCTGCAGGACCGTGCAGACCCCCTCACAGTGGTTTGACTTGGTGTGGGTGCTCTGAGGGCCAGCTGTCCCCACGCTGCAGGGGTACACAGGAAGCAAACAGAATCACGTCTCAATCAATCAATCAAACAAATTTATTTTGAACATGATGACCATACAATACAAAGAGATAACCATACTTAAACATATTACACATATTAAATACAAAATACAAATATTTCATGACAATAATAATCTCAACATGTTTGAAATGGAGTAGGAAGAAGTAAAAAACATAAACTCCTTCCCCGTACTATTTTCAAATAGTATATAATAATATTAATAAACCTCAGGCTGACTTTGTAACACAAAGGGTTGTACAAGGGTAAAATAAATTTATATTGTAATTTAACGATTTACTATCACTCCTCATATCTACACATTAAAGGATACATAAACACATGAATCTAACGCACCTGAACAAACATCAAGATTAAAGTAAATCAATTTACATTTCACAGTTGCCTTTTTTTGGCATGAGCGCACTACACACACACATACATTTATATTCACCCATCTATACACATACATTCATATGAGCTTATTAGTTTACATTTACCCATTTAAACAGCCACTCACCATTCATATTTCTATATCCTGAAAAAATAGCCTCCTTACATTTTCTTTTAAATTGTATTAAACTTTGACTCTTCTTAAGTCATTTTTTAGTTTGTTCCATAGTTTGACACCATGAATTGAAATACAAAAGCTCTTTCTTGTTGTGCGTATCCTACGACTCCTTCAATTTAAATAACCCCTTAAATTATACGTCCCTTCGTTCTCAAGAAACAATTTCTGTAAGGGCTCGGGTAATAATATATTTGAAGCCTTGAACATAATTTGAGCAGTTTTAAACTCCACCAGGTCTTCAAATTTAAGAAATTTAGATTGTAAAAATAATATGTTTGTGTGTTCATATGGTCCTACGTTATGGATAATTCTGAGTGCGTTTGTGCACTTCCATGATGCGTGTGTTTAAAAGCTTAGCTCCGGAGTTCTCCGTTGGGTGTTTGATGCTTTAGGTCGCCGCTGCGTTTCTGTCAGCCGTCAGGTGGAGGACACGAGTAGAACAGCCGACGAGGGACGGGTGTTCAGAGCTTGAAAATGTCGGCTTCAAATGTTTTGTTGGAAACATTTTGAATGCAGGATCAGGTCAGCCTGAACATTTGTTAAACTAGTGACTTTCTCCAGCTGCACGTTACTTTTCTTAATGAGCCGGCCCTTTCAGTTTGTACAGGCTGGATAGCGTTGTTGCCATGAACAACCACACATACAGCGAGGTGTGTGTGTGTGTGTGTGTGTGTGTGTGTGTGTGTGTNGGTCACGAAGGGTCAGAGGAGTTCAAGCCTTTTTAACAGCCCAGAGAGCAAAGAGGGCCTGAAAGCCACAGCAGGCGGCTCAGTGTTTACCCTGGATATGAAATCCACCTGACAAAAGTCTCCTTTCTGTGCCTTATCAACACCGGGCTGAGAGATTTCTTCTTCTGCCACAAGAAATACTCTTATCATTCAGCTGTGAATGAAAACAAAACAAGCTTCCAGAAAAAAAAGTGTGGAACATCAACAATGAGAGTTTATCTTCTTAAATGCTCTTTTGTGCACTTTTATAACTTCTAGTGTTGTATAAAGTACCTCAACGTGATACATGAGTAAAGTACAAGTATCTTATCATAAAAATACTTTGGTAAAAGTTAAAGTCTTCTCTAAAATTTTACTTGAGTAAAAGTCTTAAAGTACAGTATCTGATATTTTTTGTACTTAAGTATCAAAAGTAAAAGTACTGAGTAAAAGTGAGCAATTAGATTTTCCAAAATGACATTTATTGGGAGGTGACTTCTCATAAAAAAACATTTTTCTAACAGCGTGCAGCTGTGATGGGTTGTGTACAAGCTAATAGTGTGTCAGAATGGTATATATTTATACTTCTCATCCAAACACAATTAAATTCACTCTATCAGGAGACACAATTTATCAGGATAGGATTTTTAAGTAGTAACAACTCTGAATAAAATAGAAGTAACGACTTCTTACCTTTTTAAAAAATGTAGTGAGTAGAAAGTACAGATAACTGTGTAAAAAGGTAATAAAAGTAAAAAGTATGCTGAAAAATAATTACTCAAGTAAAGTACAGATACCCAAGAATTCTACTTAAGTACAGTAACAAAGTATTTGTACTTAGTTAAATTACAACTCTGATAACTTCTTGGAGCTAAAAGCTCGTCTCGCAGATGTATTTCAGTTTATGAGCTTGACATTAAAATTTATGTTGTTTATCGTTTTTAGTGAAACTTAAGCAACCGCACAAAACAAAAATGTAAGTTTGTCTTTCTTAACAGACTTAACAAATCCCTGCTCTGAGTCAGGGATGTCCAAACAAGCACTGCGATCCTAAGAATATTTTTCATAAATCTTTCCACTTCTGAGTGTTCTTCCTCCTCACCAGTCGGTTCATTCCCACCCTGTTTCTGACTGCCATCGCTTTTCGCTGACACACAACTTGCCTGCGTTAGTTTGCCTTGTTTGTGGTTAATCCTTTTGAGGTTAACGTCATATTTCAAAGCATAGCCTTTCCCCCTCATGTTAATTTCTGGCTTCCCATGCCTGACATGTTTGAAAAGTCTGTATCTACATGGTTTTGAAGGCTATAAACAAAACCCGAGAGGGAGTTTACAGCTTTGTTGAGCTGTGAGTTGTTTTGCTCTCATCAAAATTTGCAAACTCATTTCAAATATGTTTTCCTTTTCAATTTTCACAACAAATTTTCAGACGTGCTGTAGTTTTTCCTTCACTGATGTGTTAAGTGTCTCATTTTCTGTGCAGTGCAACAGTAGGATGAGTTAAGGTGATAGGTATTGAAAACTACATAAATTCTCTGCAGATTACCGTATTTATTCATGTATAATACGAAAATTTAATCCATAAAATCATCCATAAAGTTGGGGGGTAGTATTATACTTGGATAAATATTTTTACTTATGTATTTTAACTGAAATATCGGCAAAATTATTGAGTCCAGAAATGAGACACGTCGTAAAAATCAGTTGAAACGAGCTCACCTCTGACACTCCTCTGTTCTTCAGAGTGAGATGATAACAGATCCAAGCAGGCGACATGATGTGAAAAAAAGGGGGAAAATCAGTCCTGCAGCTCAGTAATGATAACAAACTAATGACATTAGCGTGTGACCGAGCTGCTGCTGGAACAACAACAAACACATGTTCATCTGTAATGGCTGCTGTCTACCTGTGTTCTAAAAAAGTTTGTATCACTGAAAAAACATTTCCCCACCAGAGGGGGGCGCTTGCGAGTAGGAAGTAATCTGCTTTCCCCCCACAAGATGGTCCAGATCTCATGTGAAGTCTCTGACTTTTGTGTTGGCGCCTCCTGGTGGACTGTGTGTAAAATGCCAGAATTCATATGATGCTACTACAGCTGATATACAGTATATTTGTTGTCAAAATACCTTTTAGTACATATGTTGTTAAAATAAAATGAACAGTCCAACGATCATTTTACTGATATGTATAAAGACTGCAAAGGCTGAAATATCTTGAAGTCTGTATGAAATTGGAGGTAGTTTGAGAATTAAATTTTTTATGCTTTTTAAGCTAAAAAAGGGGGGTCGTATTATAAATGAGATCGTATTATACACGAATAAATATGGTAATCATGTGGCTAAAAGGAAAACATCTTTTTGTGAAGTGTAAGTGAGGTTTAAACTCCTAAATAAAACAACCTTAGGACAGAAACTATTGTCTCCATAAAAAATCAGGCATTTCTTTGTGTTGCAATAACATCAACACTATTTGTTGATTAATATCCTAACTGTGTGTGTGTGTGTGTGTGTGTGTGTGTGTGTCTTGGCAGGGCTCTGTCCTCGGTGGTGGCTCTGGGTGCCAACATCATCTGCAACAAGATTCCTGGGCTGGCTCCTCGCCAGCGGGCCATCTGCCAGAGCCGCCCGGACGCCATCATCGTTGTGGGCGAAGGCGCCCAGATGGGCATCAATGAGTGTCAGTACCAGTTCCGATATGGACGGTGGAACTGCTCAGCACTGGGAGAAAGGACAGTCTTCGGTCAGGAGCTGCGAGTAGGTCAGTCTGGGTTCTTTCACAAGGAGGAGCACGGTGTTCGTTCACACGGATAGTTCAGGGCCTGAACTGATCAAACTTCTTCGAGTGGAACTTTAGACCGAAGTGCTGAGAATTTCTTCATTTTACTCCTACTTTCAGACTTAAGTGTAAACGTCAGTTACCAAAATTCTTAAGAATAAGAATCACTCTTACCCTTCTGGATATTTAAGACAGCTCCAGAGGTCTCTCTTGCACTGGTCAAGGTGGGAAAGAACTTTCTATTTATTATATTTTCTGTGTTTAACTCAACCTTCATGAAATCTGTAAATTTCATTTAAAAATTCCATACTCTCAAAGTGAAGTTGATGTAAAGTGAGGACCTCTTCAATGTCCTCGCTTTATTTGCAGCTCTACTGCTTTACTAGTTAGGCTTAGAGTTATGGTTTGAATTAAGTTTTGGTTCAGGTTAGGGTTAGGAATAGACTAGTAATGGTTAGTTTTAGAGACAACATTTGGCTTAGGAATAAATACAGTTACAAACATGAATGGAAGTCAATACAATGTCCTCAGTTTGACGCAAGTACAAGGATTTGTGTGTGTGTGTGTGTGAAGGGGGTATTGTCAGCGGACAGTTTAGTGAAGAGACGAGGAGGAGGAGGAAACTCAACATTTCCTCGTTGAGTTTTGAAAAAATAAACATCTGGATTCATGCAAATGAGGAACATTTGAGTAATTTACAATCAGTACAACGTGACATGTATGAATATTATTGTGTTGAATGTGAACTTATCTTAGGATTTTCACAGTTTTATCTTGATATTTCTCAGAGAATCTTGTTGAACATGAAATCTGACGCAGTGATTGGTCCATGCTGGGGTTTTTGTAACGACGTCATCCAGGATCAGCTTTGCGGCACAGCAAAGTGTCGTAAATCATCTCTAAGACTGACACTTAAGATTTACTCTTACATTTTGCTTAAAGTGAGACTGAGATGCTTGAAAAATGACTTTTAGTTTCAGCTTTTGGCGAAGTAGTTTTTTACACTTAAGTGCATTCTTAATGGCATCCTTAAGAGTAATTCTAAGAAGTTTAATAAATATGTTTGGAAATAAAAAGTGAGTTTAATTCTGACTGGATTGACAAACTAAACACTAGTCTGAGAGGGAAGAAGACTATAATAAATTGCTGCTCTCTGAAAACAACTTCATGCTCAAAAATGTCCTAGTGGTTGGTGCAAACATGATTTTATGAAGATCTAAACTGCTGTCAGTTCATTTACAACCAACAAACTACTCCAGGTGTAGTTGTAAGTACAGTTTAAATTAGCAGCAGGTGCTGAATTGATTTCTTGTTGCATTGTTATCAGTGCAGTGCTCACATCTGATAAATCTGCTAAGTGGATCATTCAGATTTAATACCAAAAAAAAAAAACAGTTTACATTTTTGGTGTTGTCCATCTTTATTTTGCTGAGCAGAGTGTTTTGCAGCTTGTGGTTGCTGATAGTCATGTAGTAGCAATAACATCGCCAGGAACTATGGGGTGCCGTTTATAAAGTTACACAGTCAAAAATTACCTCCAACGTTTTTGTTTTATTTAGACTTTTATAAGAAAAAAGAACAGATTTATTTTTCAATGTCAGTTTTTCACCATATGATTCAAACATTTATAAATGTCATAGTTTATAAACTAAATATTTAACTTACTAATTAAATATTTAGTTT